ATATGGATGGATGGATGGATGGATGGATGGATGGATGGATGGATGGATGGATGGATGGATGGATGGATGGATGGATGGATGGATGAATAGATGGATGGTGAATGGATGGATGGATGGATGGAAAGATGGAAAGATGGGTGAATCAATAAATGATTGAATGAACAAATGATTGAACAAATAAAATGTACATAAGAAAACCGATTTCTGTAATTTATGAAACGATAGAGTCTTGTTTTTATACATGAGCATTGTTTAACGTACATCACATGCCCAACATCATTAAAATCCTTACAACAAAGGTTTTTTTTTTCATCCTAAATTTAATAGATCAAAGCTATTCTTATGATATACACACGACATATGAATTCCAAGAAGCATCTGGAGGCAAAACCAACCACAGCGCATGCGCCAGACATCAAGTTATCTTTCTCAAGATCCTAGCTTTTTACTATCAGGAATAGAATCTTTTTTCTCAACATGTTTTAAGTATTTTCTTACAAGAAGAGCTTTATCTTTTTGAGGTATTGATATTTCTAAACGATAAAACTGTTTGCTAAATTAACCGATGATGCTTTGAGGTGAAAACAGCTGTTGTTGATAAAGCCGTCGTCGCAACGAATGACTGAAGCTTGCTACTCTAACATTGCAGTAAATATTCGAAAACAACTTAATACTACAAAATACTATAAAAAACCACCTTCTTTTATTGCTAAATTTATCTCCTTTCCGTTTTAAATGATTTCTAGCTATCTATTATTTATTTTTTCTTGAGATTGAAATAGTTTTTCAAGTTCAATGTGAAACACGTACGTTTCCAACAAGGTTAAGATGAACTTGCAGTAAAATAAAATCAATCCACGTGGAGTTAAAGCTATGCGTATCAACTATTACTCCAATTTCAAACAGCAGATAAACTTATTAGATCTTAGAAGAGGTACACACTCGTTTCATTAACGTAAGGGTTACATTTATACCTTTTAACTGCTTTCAAACGCTTATCTAAGGTTTCAAGTGCATTTGATATCGAAGTATTAATTCTCTGAGGGGTTTAACCACACAGGTCGCAGCATTTTATATTTCATTTTTATCTCTTTGTGGGATCGCGTTTTAGTCAAACTAATCCCTGGAGCACGATATGATTGCTTTTGCTCTTCAAATACTTAAGTCTCGAGATATGGCCTCAAAATGGTAAAGCCAAGCTCTAAAGTATTTACAAACAAATGTATAATTTTACTACTTTATTACAGTTTAGCTTTGAACTCAATTTAACTAGACGTTGGTATTTAGAGCCTAAAATCGATTCACACGATATTCTTATACAAAAAAGTCTGTTCCACTGGTTCTCACCTAGTATTTTGGTTAGCTTTTATCAATGATTTTAAATTCTTTTGAGATTTATCCATCTTGTGTTGAGAAGATATATGTTTCAAAATTTATTACCTAATCAAGCAACATTGGTCCGTGCTTAATTAGGCGCCCTCAATAATGAGCGCGGTCTTATACGCGTGCCGAGTTAAATAATAAATGAGTTAAGACTAAAATTTTGTGGATTTGAATACAGCAGAGTTGATTAAAGAAAATTGAAAATACAAAATCAATGCCATAATATGTAAAGCGATACCTGTGTCTTATTACCAGTGGAATCAAAACACATACACACACAAAACAAAAAACAAAAAACAACAGCAAAAAATCAGCAAAAATGTCTTTGTAAATCTTTGGTAACATTGAATCACTGACAGACTTGAAACTCCAACGAACACATGCTTTAGGTGCGCGCCAAATTTATTGACTTTCGAGACTTAATTTACATTCCTTCTGTTCTGGAACTTTATGACTGAGGCAGCCTCTTAATTGATTTATATAGCATGGAATATTTTGACTATTAGCGAAGAAATAATTGTGCTCTAATGTTATTGAGTAAAGCTCATTTTTACTTCTCATTGAACTCAAATTGACGAATGCAATAATTGGTTTCGAATCGTTTTTGGATAAAAATTTACTTATAAAATCTATATACAAAGCTATTCAAGTTTATAGTCAAAGCCGGAACTTTCTTTGAAAGCGTTTTTTCTCTCTTTCTTTACTCCGCTCAGAAGCTGTGGAGGTCTTTGTACATTTTGACACTCCAAAACAATTCGAAGCTGACAGATTTTTTATTGTTGCCTAATTAGAATTGTTTTGCTATTGAAAGTGTATCATCTTAGCGCGTGTACGGCATGGATTCATGTTTCCTATTGTTTAGATTCGAAACAGCTTCGTTCCAAATTACTGTTTTCTATTCTTATTACCATCGAATCTTGAATCAACTGATGCTGTTTCAAAGTACTCCGACATACAAATTGTAATTTAACAACTTCTAGGTTAATGCGAGCAAATTGAAAGGCTTAAATGAGAAACACCTTATTTTCTAAAAACATTTTTTCATCCTCAGAAGTACGAAGCAGCTGCGAGTATAGTGTCTTTAGGGTTGAGTCGACAGAGGGCACAGTGATAACATATATTACAAACACCTTTTTGTAAGGTTGCCTCGCCATCAACCCATTATTACTTGTACAAAATGATGCATTTTAACGCTATTGTACTCGACTAGCTCGACTTGTAAATCTAATGTATAGACTACTCTCTCTGTCTCGGACTTCTTTGGGCAGGTATTTTTTACTTTTGGAGCCTACATTTACTCAAACTGCTTGAATATCCTTCAGAGAGTCAACAAACGAAAGACTTTCACTGAACCAACTAATGAGAAATTGCTTGAGATTTTTTCCAATTCTCGGTACAGTTTAAGCTATTAAAAAAATGTATACAAAACTATAATATTTTAAGATATTTTGGGAAACAAAGTTAGTAGAAAAGAAAGTAGTTACATATGGCGGGAAAACCGCGCGTTTATTTAACATTGACAGAAAGCAAAATGTCATGAACTCACAGTAATTTTGTCATCTTTGACCGCGATTTTTTTGGTCTCATTTCATTACCTTTACTAAAAGCGTTCTTAGTGAACTTTATCGCTTAGATTTGTGGTATTTTAATCTATTTATATTCGCAAAGACTATACGTTCTCAATAACGCGGTTCAATCATCAGATAAATTTACACGCAACCAGCGAAAAATTAATTTAAAAAAGCGGGAAGAAAAAAAAAAAAAAAAAAAGGGAAAAGAGAGCTTAAAAACAGCGTAGTTTACCACCCCAAGTTTCAGCACAGCTTCATACCTGATTTGAACAAGACAATAGCCTTGAGGCAAGCGAATTCCGCTTCACAAACTTGAAGTGTTCTAAATCTTGAGCTTATTTCTTGTAGTTGACGAATATTCGCCATTGTCCCGACAATTTTTTCGGCCTGAGTATTCTCTACGTGCATCCCAGCGGCCGCTAGCAAAGGAGCCACCTCTAGAGGCAAACTCCATTGCACAGCTCCCATAATAAATAGTTCTCTCCATCCTTCTTCGAGAAGTATGACTTGATCTCGGAATGGTAGGTTGACGAAGGATGGAATATTACGCGCCCATTTGACGGACATGAAGAGAAGTCTTGCTGCAGATTCGAAGATGGCTTCTGGAGAAGAACAGTAAACTGAAGATGGAATATCTGGTTGTGGAAAAGGGATGTTGTAAACTTGATTTGTTCGAAGCATTGCATCTCGGCAAGGCTCTGCAACGATTAAACTTGCTAAGAAGTCGTTGTTCATAGCACTTTTCATTCCATATTCATCCATGTGTGGTTTCAGAATCCTCGCAGAGTTAGGCTGTCTTTCTTGTTGAACAGCTAAAAAATAAAAATAAAAACTATCTAAGAGGAATATATTTCTCTTTATTCAACACTGTTAATCGTTTTGAACTCTCGTTAACTCGCTTCAGTGTAAAAAAATGCAGAAAACTGTAAAGAAAAATTGGTTTAAGATTTTCATAGCATCAGTGACCCACTTCCCTTCCCAAGGATGAACAAGAAAATTTTTTAAAAGTTGTTTTTCTTCAAATAAAATTTAGTTTTCCCAGTTTAATTTAACAAAGAACTCCTTTATCCAGATCTCTGAATATTTCAATTTCTTTTATGAATTCTTGAAGAAGGAGTACAACAAACTGAAGCCATGTTTTTCTAAAAGAAATGAGAACGTCGATTTTAGGTTGAGCAAAGCGACTAGCAAAGCAACTTCTAGCACTATGGCAGACTGTAAAATCGGTTTGTCTGCTGTTTTTTTTAGCTACATAGTATTTCTTTTAAAAACCAAAGAACAGGCGAAGAAAGAACTTTCTGAATTCGCTTCGCTTTAATTTTTAATGACAACAAAGTCTGAAGAAACAAGCCACACAATCTTTGAAGTAAAATGCAAATAACGATGGTGCCGAATACTTTGAAGATAAGATGCCTATCGTCTAAGGAAAAAATAATTTATTTACCTAAACATTTAGGAAAATTTGAACCAAAACCTTAGAATTACAAAAGAAAGAGTAAAGCGGATAAAATACCGCTAAAGACAAAGCCAAAGGCGGTAATTTTGTTACCAATTGTGTAATCTTTAAGTACAGTTTTCTAGAACGGTCGATACGAAAATAAACTCCAGTTAGGCAAGTAAAAAATTCAAAATTTAGTTCGCACATTCAGCTTTGATATTGATTCTTTCTTTCGGTCATTAACAGTTTAAACTTAAAACTACTTTAATGAAGAGTTTGTATGTTGAATATAATAAAATCGCTTCAACAGTTGAATTTTATTCAATATAGAAAGAGTTACGTGTTCCAAGCTGGTACTCTAGGGCTTCGGTAGATGAGAAACATCGCTTGCTTATATTATCTTAACATACGTTTATCTTAAATGAAACTTCGCTCTCTTCAAATTTGACATTATTTTGTCTAAAGCTTTGAATAATAAAGCTTTCGGAAGCGAATTCCTATAATTTTTTTTTGGCAAACTGTTTTGCTTTGTTGTCAGAGTTTTAAGAGAACTTTATCGAATTCTTCAAACGAAAAAACTAAAACTTTGAAGAATGTGGAGACAAACTATGAAAGAAGAAAGTGGTGATCCTTGAGATCAACTTGGAAGAGCTACATTTGCGTTGAATTCCATACTTTTTGATTGAATTCCCCAAAGTGTATTCACAATGACATCAAAGTTTTAAGACAATTGAATCAAGAGAGCAAGTATCCAATTAGTATTAAGTTTTTAGTATGTCCTTCCTTTTTACCTGAATGAAACGGATACATTCACGACATTGTCGACAATTATCGCTTTTAATTGCGGCTTTTAGAATATTTTTTCGCTTCCTGGAAGAACGTAAGTTTAAAGCCATGAATTACAACGAGTTACGTCAATTTGGAGAAGATAAACAGTACCTTTAAAAATCAAAATATGTCTCAAGGCAAAAAATAAGATGAGAAACGGGAAAAACCTCGGTTACCCCGGACACAAATCATGAGTTAAAACCTGCATTAGAAGTCATCTGAATGTGAGTTTAAATTCGATGAATTGTAAACGGAGAAGAAGCTTCTATTATGCCATTAAAACAGCAAATAAAAAGGTAATATTCCTGTAGTATTATTAAAACGGAAGAAACGTTTGTGTTATTTGATTGTCATGTTTTAAAAATATAACTTTAGGATAACTAAAACGGTGAGGTCGAAACTTAATAAGCATTGTTGCTTCGACCGGAAAAGAAATAATTTAAAACATATTCCGTTTCTTTAAGACGTTTAAAATTTATTTAACAGCCATACATTCATTAATTTGTCTCCAAAATACAAAACTGTATTGATAAAAACAAAACTAAAAACGATACTCAAAAAACACTTTGGATTGGACTTAGTAAACCGTTTCGAATTTCTTAGCTAGTTTTACTGAACTGTAGAACAAAAAGTGGAGCGTCTTGTGGAGGCTTTTTTGCATTCAAACATGTTTAGTAAACTTTGGGGAAAAAAAGTTATCCAAAATGCTTCTTTTCCAAAGTCAGAGTCTTTGAAATTTAACAGCGTTTTATTAAACCAAGCAGGAAGGATATACTTCGTTCAAAAGGTCACTCGTGTACGTTTTGTTCTTAACGTGAAATTAATTGAAGGCAGTTGGAAACGCCTCTAGATTGTCGCCTCAGTGGAACACGATTCTCTTTTGAAACTGAATTCGCTGTCTTCTTAGAAGGTCTTCACAATAGAAGCACAGTACAGCATTGATCTGATTTGGAAGTGGTTTGAGCTTCTTTGAAGTCAATAAAGCCGAAATGTTGATCAATTGTTGTGTTTTGTAAAGGAGACATTTGTGCAAGCTAAATTTTGCCACGCGCTACGCTATACAGTGTTTGCTTTTCATTCTGTTTCATACAGACAAGGACAATCTTTGTTTAATCATTCCCAAATAACTATTCGTTTCACATCACTTAAATTATCTCCAACCTTGGGTCTTTCTTAATCTAGTTAACACTGACAATTTACTATATCTTAGCAAGGGGAATGCTGATTAAATTCTCGAGAGGTTTAAAAAACAAGTGTAAAAATCTTAGTCGAAAGGGAGTTGAAAAGTTATGGGATGAAAGCTAGGTAGCAGTAACATCATCCTTGTAGAAGTACGACGTTTGTTTGCTTAGATATGTGTTTTCCTTTGTAAACGCTTATAAAACAATAGAAAGGTCTGGTTTTTATACAGTAGGTAGATATATCACTGTGGCATTGCTATAATCAGTGTGAGATATTGAAATTGAGCCGTCTCTATCACCTGCTGGCATGATTTTCAAAATCTCTTTCAATAACAGCAAGCGCCCTCTATTTTTACTTTGTCTATGGAAAATTCCCAGTAAAATGTTCCTTGTCAAGCCTATTTATATTTTCGAAGGCAAATTGGGCTTCACAACCGAGATATGATCCGATTTTCAAGGGGTTTTGAAAGCGCGCGCGTTATACGTTTTCCAAAGATTTCACCTGCTACAACCATATCGCCATATGTTGCTCAGAAAGCATGCGGGAAGTAACTTATATCACTGGCATAGATACAATTTAGTGCTCAAAACGATATAAAAACCAGCTTTTTACTATACAGAGTTTATTTGCTTATTCATTCGACGTCGTACAATTCTTGGAGGTGCCGGGTACCATGAGCTCGGGGATCAAATGATAAAGTTTAATTGTACTAGTAGCGAAACCGCAGCTCTTAGTAGAATACCCTGATTTGTCTTGGGGTTAGAATAAAGGGATATCTTGACGTTTTCTTTTTATCGTAAAAATTAATTGGGCTTAATTGGTGTCTTCGAAATTCAATGTCTTTAGTGGACGTTACAGACCCTATAATAATGAAATGTATCACCTTCTAGAAAGTGTCTCTTTCGTGTCGGGTCGTGAAAGAGAATACTGAAGGCCGCATTAGCCAGAAAGACAGAGAGACGTTTTCTAATAAGCCRCAACGTTCGATTATTTTGATTCAGCTTTATAAGAAGCTGGGAACTTGTTTTTAAATAGGTTCCCTATTAACGTATCATTCTTTTACTTCAACATTTGAAGCTTGTAGTTGATGAGATTGAAGAGAGGAATTTGCTTGCCAAATTTCTGGAAGTCAGTTGCTCTGGTAATTACGAAATTGACCCATAGCTCCGCCAAATAATTCAAATCGCATATAAGTTAGTACAATTTGTACATTTACCAACCCCTTTTTAAAAGCTGAGTCCTCCTTCTAGAAAAGTCGACAAAAGATTTTGAATTTTGCTATGGACTGAGCAATTAAGCTAGTAATTGTTCATGACACGCGAATGAAGTAAGAATAAAAATGAAACTCCAAGTCACGAGTAGACTAATACATGGAAGTACACTCTAGCTTATAGCTGACGTATACTTACCGAAGCGATTCATCTTAACGTCGAGACATTTCTTGAAACGACAAGCCTGGCATTGATTTCTTCTTTTCTTATCAACTGTACAAGTACCGTTGCCTTTGCACGTATAAACCATGTCTCTCCGAACACTCCTCATGAAGAACCCGCTACAGCCATCGCAAGTGTATATTCCGTAGTGCCTGCCAGAGGAGATATCCCCACACACTTTGCATAGGATTTCTTGCTTTTTGTCCAGCTCGGTTCGTTTGGGTGAGCAGTTTTCCATTTCGCGATCATGCTCTTCGCCTAATTATTCCAAATCACAGCACACGTAGATCAATATAACAATCCATACCAAGCTTAAATTGATACTTTGGCATGTAAATTTAAATGAATAAAAACAAACTCCCCTTTTAAAAGATATATAAAAAAATTTGTTTCAAAATAGTCGTTAGTGAATACTGTGAAGGCGGTAGCAGTGTCGAATGTGATAAAAAACGTATTGGATATTAACGTCACCGCCCTCTCAAAGATTCTTGTAAAAAAATAAATAAGATACCTGTACGACTTTAATCTTGAAAAATGAACGATATTTTTTCAATTTTATTTGGAGAAGAGATTTGAATTCTGAACGAATTTACTCATGAATCCAGACTGCACAACTGATGTTGTACAGTTGAAGCTGGCTTCAAAGTTTCTTCGTCTACAACTTAATATGGTTTTAATTACGGAAAGCTAAATAGAAATCACAAGAAAACAAGACTTAGAGCATGTTGAGTTAAACCCGTGAAATTAGCCAGCAGTGAAGATATGCTTAATTGATTCGATAGATACGTTGTAAAATCTTACCAACTTTTGCATCAACCTCCATGCTGCTTGATCGTAGCCTTCAACTTATAATAAGTATACGGTGAAGTCTTGAGCAATTTTGAGGCGTTTTATAGCCAAGTTCAAGGAAAAAGGCCTTTTAGAGTTGGTCAAGACCGCGCTCTATACTTTTGAAGCAGCTGTTATGATTATCACGTGATCATCTCGAGCGCTGATTGGCTGAGGAGACTAATTAAAACGGGCTCTGTAAATGAAAGACCTTACAGGTAAGACGTAATTTAATCTCATCATCATCAATGACTTTTGTTTTTTTGAAAGTGTTGTCCCAGCTTTTTTACACTCTTATTTGCAAGCAAAGCAATTAGATAGGCATTTGTTTGAAATGTTATTTTTTTAAGATCGAAGCGGATAATAAGACTAGCGCTTTCTCAGCACGTGTTGCCTAAACCAAACTTCCTCATCATAGCGCCAAAACCTTAATTTTCGCCCTCAAACTTTTCAAATCTTTACTTCTTGGTCTTCAAATCTTACTCCTTAGTAATTCATGGAAAACACTAGTTCAGCATATGATTAAACTGAATACTGAGTTTTGCAGTATTCTTGTCATCTCAAATTTAATTAGCGATATCTAGTTTGAACTTGAATAAAGTTATGTTCTGAAAATTGCACGCGCAAGTTTCAATTCACTAAACTTATTTGTTTAGTTAAGAATACGGGGAAGAATCGAAATCTTCTACCTAAAGCTTAAAAAATCAATGAACCTGGGTGGTTTTCAAAGTGTCAAAGAGCTCACTGAGAACCGGCTCTGTAAGGTTTTCTTGTACATTTGAATAAAAATGTTTCCACTGCACCAATATTCAGTATTTTTAATAAATCATGGTTATTTATATTCACCGTAGTTTTCTTAACATCTTTAGGGATAGCAAAACATTATTAATTGTAAACTGATTGTCCATATTTCTGATACAAAAGATAACAAAACCAGAGAATAGAATGATCTTTAATTTATAAACGGCTCCATTTTACTTAAACTAGCATCTAATAGCAATAGTTTCTAGTGCTTTTTTTTACTGAAATCCTCAATTTAATACATCAGTCACTGAGACAGGGTCGATTTTACACTCACTTGCTTTACACAAAGCACTAAATAGGCTCTTTCTTTTGTTTGTATTTCCATAGACACCCGCAGTGAACGATACTTTGGTTTTATTATTTATGTTAAACGAGAGAGAAAAAACGCCCTCAACAAATTTTCTACTCATTTGCAAACATCTAGTGGTAATAAAATGGATTTTCTTACAATCAGAGACACTTTAGCTTACCAAGTCATTGCGGCGCTTGGGCATTCTTATTACTAATTGATACCAATCGAGAACTACATCCCAATACCTACAAGCATTAGTTCATCCCATGAAGAGGTTGTCTTAGGATTGTATTTTTWAAAAAGGCTTTTCAAGAACAGCGCTTTGGTTTTTTTATTTGTGTTTAAAGTGAGTTGATTCCCATCGTTTTATACTCCAAAACGCCTCTGTATACACCTTGTTTACTAGTGGTCTCCATTGGATCTGCCATTTTCACACTTCCCAACTCTCATTTCTACCCCCTTATTCGCATTAAAAACGTCCTGCATTTTCCTTTCTCTAATGTTTTAAGTTTACTATTTCGCTTTCTCCTCCGTTAAAGTCGTTGCCCTCATCTCCCTATTCGCCCACATTCTCCCCATAAGTCATACACTATACTTCCTTCTACGCTAAAAAAAAAACAAAAAAAACCAGCATTTATCCTTTCAATTTTCCTTGGCTCATTCACGAATCTGAACTTATAAAACAACTTTTAATCAAAACAACAAAAATCAAGAATTGTCCAATTACTCCCAGTGTCAAAATGGAATCAATTTTGAGTCAATACGTGATATACTCGCAAAGAAAATGACACTTTGGGGTGCTATGTTCAGTCATCTTTTCCTCAAGGATATAAACGGAACCAGATGCTAATAACGAGCGAACCGGCTGAATACACGAATTTCCTATGTGGGGGAGTACGCAGACCTTCAATGTCGACAGACTCCAAGACAAAAATCTTTATTTCTAAACTACTGTTTAAAAAGAGGTGTTTTTTCTTTCTCCCAATAGAATCAACCTTTGATGTCTGTTTTACCATTTGTATCATAAAGCCCGCGTTTAATAAAAATTTATGTGACTGACAACTTTAGTTTTTGCCTCTAGCCGACTAGCATCAAACACTCTTCATTGAGAATCTGTTTGTTTACTCGAAAAAGCAGCTTTTCCATTTATAATCAACGGAAAATCCATTGTCAACGGCTTTTTGAATCATAAATAAAATCCTTGGTTTTATTTTTGGTTGCTCAGTCTATCCTTTTTTTCTATCATTACTGACAAGTAATTATAAGCTCGAGTATTTTTTCAAAGTCTATTCAAAGCTCTCCAAATATTATTCGAGTTTAGTATAATTTGTATCAAAGCTATTGTCTTAGGTTTCCGGAGAGTTTTTGATTCGTTTAAGATTTGAAAATGAGGTGATTTTCGGTGTTTCAGAGTGAATATATGCTTAAAGGTGTTGATCAAACTTGTAAGCTATCTCGACTGGAATCAGATTTAATACATTGATAAAACTAATGGATAAAAAAAACTAAAGAGACAAAAATATGAACCACATCGATCATCAACACTCAATTCTTATTTTGCTGGTATTTATTTTACGAATATCCATGCAATTTAAACAAAAATATGCTTACAATTCTACGATATCGTTTAGAAGATTATAGGTTTTGAGTAGTATGTAGAAAAATATCATTTTCAAACTATTAATAAGTCGTAGGGAAGTATCAATAGTGCTTTTATTCCATCTTGATTAGCACTACGTGTAGATTAGATTTAAGTTCAGCGATAATGGTTTAAAAGTGTCGTACAATTGTCAAACGATGGATTTTTCTGCTCACCACAGCGTGGTAAAATCCAATAGTCTTTATTTGTCTCAAAGCTCATGAATTTTGCAGCAAAAAAAGTTATTGAATCAGCCAAAGATGATTCATAGTTAATGAAGTTATTCCTCGAAAATAACGTTTTAGTGCTTTTAATTGTATTAGCTACAAAATTAGCTGAGAATTTTCGCCAAACTTAATATCTAAAGGAAAAAAATATGAAAGAATAAGTAGCTTAGAAAGCAAGAAAAGCGGTGAAATATTCTCAAAGGTATTTATACGACTGCATTCAGTCAAAATACGAGTTTGTGAAAAAGTCTTACAATTAAGCTATCACCTGCGTATGATCGTGGCTTTTTGGTCTCTAAAATCTTCAGTGGTTCTTTGATGTAATACAGTGTGTAAAACGCCTTTAAATAAAGATCTTCTATTTGAAAAATTTCGATGGCAGCGCCCTGTTCCATTTTCTTCGACTCTCAAACTATTACAGAAACGTTTATACGACATTTTAAAAGTTAAGAATTTGGCTCTCACGATGGTAATGAAGGCCTAAATATCACGTTTTGTTTCATTCCTTGTTTGTATTTTCGTTTTCCTTGACGACTAGTTAAAAGAATGATAATTTTGTTTCCCTACAATACTCTGAATAGTTTTGTAGAGAACCAATTTTACCAATTTTATATTTATTAGTCAACTATTTCAGGTATTAACTTTGACACATTTAAGCCTTACACATACTTTTTGCATATTTATACGGGCAATCATTGCAGACAATAAAGAAGCCATTCAAAGATTTTTGACCCGCGTTTTGAATTAGCACCAATATGAATTAAAGTGTTTCTGTAAGTTAGAAGAATTTGAACTTCGAAGTAAAGAACAATCTCTAAATTGTCAAGTGTTTAAAAGTCGTTCTATTTTTATTTAGTAAAAACAGAAGGGAAAAAACGTCGTAAACAACAACTTGGCAACAATGACAAAACTTGTACATGAAATATTTGTTTTATTTTCTTTGGATATTTTTGCAGTTTTATTACTAGATTGTGTACAACATTTGAGTACGGTGCATATATCCTTGCTTTATCGTTTAGATAGAACTAAAACAAAAGAGGATGGATTGACATACTTCTAGGCTACAACAGAAGCTAAGTTTCTGGTTGCAAATGTATCGATGTTAGCTACTGTTTCTGTGAAAAACTGTCTATATGACTACTCAGTAAATCAATTCCTTAAAAAAGAGAAAATAAATAAACAAACACTGTACATAATCTAAAATCAAGAGTATTTTAAATTGATGAAAAACGTGGGCTAATTCATGCAAAACAGTTTACTTGAAATATTTGTATATTGACAACAACATGCACAATTTCAAAGGAAGTAAAAAAATAAATAAATAAATAAAAAAAAAATTTGGCCATCGACAGAAATTGCTATATTTAGCTTCGACAATTATTTTATTTTAAGAACCTAGAATCAATAAGCTATACCTTTTCCTGTATGAGATTGTATTTGCTTTTGGTAAAAAAGGAAAAAAAGTTTCATATCTTGCATTTTGTGAAATACGCAAGTATGCCGGCGACTAGCTTCTAAAAATACACTGAAAAAGACGTTTGGTTGAAAGAGCAAGTTATAGTGCTTTATTTTGGTGAAAAAAAGCTGATAAATCAAACAAAAAAAACAAAAAAAAAAAAAACAAAAAAAAACAAGACAAAGATTATACTGACAGGTAACATTGATTTTTTTTATGTTTAACGTGGCTCATCTTTGGGATTAAAGTGAAAATTGGCCAGAATCATTAACGTTACAGGTGCTAGTATTGTGAGGCTGTAAAACCGTTAGCTTAAACCAGCCACACGTTAATAAAATTTAAATTAGGTATTAACTGAATATTTCGAAGATATGGTTCAACAATATGTGAAATAAAGCATTTTAACTAGAGAGAGAGAGAAAGAAAAAACGTACATATTTTGCAACTATTTGTATAAATTTACTAAAATCATTCAAAACCCGTTCAAAAAGGATGAACAAAACAACAAAAAATAACCTAAAAAGCCAAAGTTTGCCTTGGAAACGACGAAAATATAAAAAAACAGCGTAATTTAGGGGTAATTGCAGTTTTTATAGAATCGTATCAAAGCGCTAAACATCAAAAGTTTTGAAGAGTATTGTTAGTAAATGTTCCAGCTCTAACTCTTTCGGTGAAAATCATCTGATTAGTTGACACGAAATCTTTCTCTGAC